GATTTAGATAATATTTATGCTAGAGAACGAGTCGTCGACGACAATGAGTTAGATACGGATAGTGATGACGAAGATCATAACAAGATGAAAATAGAAGATGTCATATCCACAGATATATTGAGAAAGTCTGCAACTGGCAACAAAATCAAAGTAGAATCTAGTTGCTTCATCTTTTTCATTTATGAATTTGTTTTGTCTTTTTTTGCAGCCGATCGAAGAACATGTTCTATCACAGAAATTGAGTCAACTGTCAACTTCCCGGCAAAAAGAATCAAAAATAGAGTCGGAAAAGAAGCTACCAAAAAAGATTAAATCAGATCAACTAAGAGAAACGCTGAAGTATCTTACTAAAAGTAATAAATCATTTGAAAAAATGATTAATTCAATTTTATCTAACAAAACAACAACAGCGGTAGCATCATCATCCGACAACTTAGAAAAATATCGACAAATAGCTATTTCGATTCATCGAATCAAATACATAGAGATTTTATATTCTCTTTGGAAAGTCTATTTACAATCGGGCTTGGGTCAATTAAAGTGTGATAATTTTCCAAATGAATCAGGTCCACATGTATGGGTAAAGCCTGTTCAGTCCATGGTCAAAGTGGCTGTTCGTTCAGGTCTCGAAAAGAATGATGCATGTTTAGCCTATGTGAAGAATCGTCTTGCTCAATTAGATAAATCTAAACAAGAATATCATACTGATCTACAAGTTCAATTAAATCATTTATCTCATCAAGCAAACATAATTCAACAACCATTAGAGAAATTCATCGAAGAAAATCTTCTTAGTCTACGGAAGAAAATTCAACATAAAATACAATTGGTTTACTTTGAATATAAGGAAGAAATCATAAAACACGAATATCTTAAACAGAATCCAAATGAAGCTCAAGTAAGATCATCAAAAATCTCATAACGATTAATCTATTCTGTTCCATTTCGTTTTTTTTTCTCTCTTTCTCTCTTACTAGATAAAATTAGCTGAAGAACTCTGTACTGCTAAACAACAAGAAGAACTGAGCAAATATACATCCGAACTTCTCGATAAACAACTTATTCGTTACAATGCATCATATAATTTTGAACATTTACCAATCGCTCGTTTTCCTTTATTTGATTCGATTGGTAATGCCGATATTCAACAACAATTCTATGCTCAATATAGACAAATAATTGAACAAACAAAAACAGATATGCTCACTCTCTATACTCAGTCAGCTATAAGTCAACAGATGCGTTATCAAAATGGATATAATGATAGAATGAAAAAAATTACAGAAGACCAACAATTACTGCCAGATGAACAAAAATTAACTACGAAAATGATTGAAATAATCGTGCAACGTGCCCATCTTATTGAAGAACGACTCAAATGTGTTCATGATTTTAAACTTGAACAATTTTCTTGTCAATCATAAACATGAAACTATTTCCTTATTCATTTGTCTTAATTCTTATTCTCATTGTTCTTTATTTATTTAGTTGAAAATCTCTTACTTACATGTTAGGTTTTGTCATTTGTTTTTAGATTTTTTTCATATTCAATTTTATTTTTTCAAACATGAATGTCGATGCATCAAATCAACCGCTATCACCAGCTCAGCCGATGATCATAGATCAACCATTACAACAGGCAAATCCAGGAAAAAAACGCAAAAAATATCATGGTATTAAAAAATTACAACGTTTCAGTCGGAGACGACGTGATCGCGGCATTAGTGACGAAGCAATAAAGAAAATGATTAAGTCAGGGAAATTTGTGAAGAAAAAGAAAAAATCAAAACAATCGAAAAACGTTACTACTACAACGAATGCTCCTCCAACAGAAGTTCCGGTCACATCAGAACCGAAACCAGTAAGTGCTGATCAATAACTGATGAAAGTGTGATAAATCACAAAATGCTTACTCTTGTATTCCTAGAAAAAACAAGAAATTCACAATAAACAGGAAAAATCTACTACATTTGCAAAGAAACGTAAACGAGATATTTCTTCATTTGAACTTCATTATCATTTGGTTCCATCGACAAGTAATGTAAGTCTTCGTCCAGCAGCACGCAAAAAAAATGAAAAGAACCATTTTCATCCAATCAATCCCATCCGATAGTATCAGTGTGAATATGAATTATCCGTAAGTCATCGTTTATCTTTTTCCTTACGTAAATAATTTAGTTAAGCTAATGTATTATGATAACCTATTAGATTACCGGCTTATTTATCTCATTTACCACATTTAATCTTTCAAACCTTACGACAAGAATTTAATTGTGTAATAAATAAAAAAGATGAACGAATATTTCTTCATGTGCGCTTACAATTATTAGATCGTCGATATCGTCTAAAACTTGATCAAGGTTTATGGCAATCTTACTTAGATATTGGTCACGAAGAAAAATTATGGCCCGTAAGTTCACTACGATAAGGAAATTGTGAATGTCATTTAAATTTTCTCTTGCTGATTAATTTATTGCAGCGTTCATTATATGAAATGGTCAAAACCAATCAAGCAGATCTATGTGAAAATTATATTATGACACAATTAGCTATTACCGATGATCAATTAGAGCAATGCGATATGGAATTGGATAAACAAACGAAACCACCGATATCAACTCTATTACCACCATTAGATATTATGGATACAAGTTTAAAAAATTATGTCTCCTTACAACAAAACTATTTAGTCGAACGTATACAACATAAAATAATGAAATTTAAGGATGAACTTCGTCATGAAAAATTGTATCGAGATTTGTTTTCTTACAATCTCAGTACTGTTCAACGACAAATGCTTGAACAGATCATTCATGTACGAATGACACAATTGCAAGTTTACGAAGAATTTATGATGCTTGAACAACGTATTTTACATCAGTTTCTACCACCGAATTTTGATCAATTTGAAAAGATTACAGCACCTGATTTTTATTGGCCACCAATTACTGATCAGACACTAGTCAATATACGAACAAAACATCGTACAATCTTAAAACGAGAAAAACGTAATTTACTAAATCTGTTTTATGCTGCCTATGAATATAAAGTCAATGAATATCAAGTACAGTATAAAGAAAATTTAAATCAATTAGAATTACAAAAATTTTCTACTGAAATTCAAATCAATGGCATATCTTTAATCAACTATTTCAAAGCTTATATGTTACATCATACTCAAACAGCTATTGATAATATATTTCATAAATTAAGTCACTTTCGACAGATCATTGCTCAACGTTATCAACAATCATCAGCTACCAAGACAATGGTCGGCGTATCACCTGAAGTGATTGTTGATGTTCTTTATTGTCCTTATAAACCCGAAGAATTATCTCACTTATCCTTAGGTAAGTATATTAAGACACATCTATGATTCTCATTCTCGATTGATAATTTTATCTACGGTTACATTTCATAGGTCCAAATTATGCTCGACCTAATCCAAGTGCTCTTCGTAAGTTGAAACATCGCGAAACACAAATAGACCATCATCTGAAAGATATCACTACGAAAGTTAAAAATCAATTAACGAACTACTGTCGTAGAGAACCACCAGTCCCAAGAATAAAACATTATTCTGAATTAGTTGAAAATTTACTTCAACAACATTATATGGCTCCATTATCCTATGTTGATCGCATGCGCGCTGAACGAGAATTCAAATTGGTTAAGTCTATTCGACATAAAGCACAACATGCGAAACTTATTATACGTATCTGCGATAAAGGTGGTGGTTTTCATATTGGTAGCAAAAGTGATTATGAAAGAAAAGCAGCTAAATATCGTGAAGATACAAAAGCCTATCAAGAATTATCATATAATCCATTGAAGGAAATATTCACTAATGTAAAAAATGCACTTGACGTTCTCAAGAATAATAAGCAATTAACACTCAAGGACTATAATCGTCTAATGCCGAAAGGGGATCAAGTCAAATTATCTTACATGTATTTTAATCCAAAACCACATAAGGTTAATAATCTTCTTTGATAATTTATCAATGATGATTGCCTTAAGTATGTAATTTTCTTTTTTTTTTTTATTGTTTAGGAAGGAACACCATTACGACCTATTTTGAATACTATTAAATCAGTAACCAGATCTATCTCTGATTTCTTAAATGAATTGATTCAACCTATCTATGATCAATATAATAAAGAGAATACAATTACTGATGGTGTAAATCTTATCAAACGTGTCGAAAAATATGCTGCTGATGGTTATCTTAAACCGTCGACTCTTTTCTGTACTTTTGATATCAATAACTTGTATACCATGTTGCCACAAGATGAATCCATTCGAATTCTAGGTGAATTTCTTCATACATATGTTGGTAAAAGAGTTAAAAATATCTCGGTTGA